TATGTTTTATCATACTGTCACGAAGATGTTTATATCACCTTTGTCTGAAAAATTTAATAAAAATTGTCAATTTAAAAAAAAAAAAAAAAAAAGATGATTCCAAAGTCATGTGCCACCCCAAAGGCATATCTGGAGTCTGTGTAGATGTTCGCTCTTTTCCCCTCTGCCAGTTTGCACGCAGCAGTGAGGGCTTGAAGTTATGCTTCCTGGGCCGACCTGGTAGGTGGCAGGGGATCCGCCTGTAAGATCTGATCCACAGTTGTACTTACCCAGATCGTCCACATGTCTGGGACCGTCAACAAAGAGGGTAAGGTCTCTTTCAAGCAGGGGTGTATCACTCACTGTGAGGAGGTGTGTGGTTTTCGGCTCGCATGACTTCCATACAGTCATGTCCTTGTTCCGAACCTTCCTGTGCTTCTTCCTCAGTTCTCTCCTCCATGTTCTTCCCCCCTTGAAAGTGGGAGAAGTGTAGCAGGGTTCAGAGTGGTGCAGCGCTGGAGGGTGACATTGTCTGGGATCAGCAGAGATATCTGTAGTCTCAGATGTCTGGCAGAGGATAGGTGCCTTGAGAGATGCAATGGCCCAGGAATAAAACCTTCTCAGAGCACCATTGAAGTTTGTCTTTTGGAAGCTTTACACCCCTTTTTAGCCAAATATGTAAGCAGACTCTCCGCAGTTTCTTCAGCCAGGGGCAGGGTGTCAGCACATAAGAGCAGGTCATCCACATACTGGAGCAGGGCTACAGTTTCCTCACAGGTTCTCTTAGTCTCTGCATGCAGTTGTGCTGGAACATGCTGACTTCTCATTTGCGCTCTTAGCTCCTCAGCTTGCCTCTGCAGCAGGATCTTCTCTGACTGGAGCTTCTCACTTTCCCGTGCAAGGCTGCTGTTCCTTACTTTCAAATCATTCAGCTCTTTCCTCAACATGTCCAACTTGAGTTCAGACCTCCTCTTCTCCTTATTTGCAGCTTCAAATTCATCTCTGACACGACTCAGCTCCTGTTCAACTTCTTCTAATCTCCGAGACTTCTCATTCACCTCATTAGTTAAAAGGCATTGCATGTTTTCAAACTTGTCAGTAGTGACAGCAAACTTCAGCCGTTCTCCGACCTCTTGGACCCTTCGCTCTGCTTTTTCCTTCTCCTCCTCACAAATGGCTAGCTCATCTTGAAGGCGCCTGTTGTCCTTACGCGAGCGTGCGTCCTCCCTGTGCAGTTCCTGCCCCAGGAGCTCATTGTGACGCAGCTGGATACGCAGCTTCCCAACTTCAGCAGATGCTCCCTCATATTTGCCCTTTACTTCTTGGAGCTGTTCCTGTAGTTCCTCAGCATGTGAGCTGCCACATGGGTGGATATTGCTACCGATTGGGCTAGTTTGAGTGGGTATTGGGGTTTCCTTGGGAGGGTCACTCCCTCTTTAAGTTTCACCACCACCGGGGGTACATCCAGGTGTCCGATGTCTTCTGGGCCTGAGGCCCAAAGCTCCTGAGGGATCCTATTCAGAATTTCAGGGGAAATGGTGGGTTTTCCATGTGGTTGATGAAGTGAAAGCATCAGGGGCAGGGAGCAAAGGGCTGAAGAATCCTCAGGTGACAATGGCGAATGTAAAGTCACTCCTCCCTCTGGTGTGAAGACGATGGAGGCCTGGAGTCTGGATAGCACATCTGCACCAAGTTAAGGGGACAGGTAGAGGACACCACAAATCTGACCAACAAGTTAGGATATGTCCCCATTTGGAGTGGTATGGTGAGAGGATTGGGGCGTGGTACCCCATCTACACCCACACAGGACACATCTATGTCTGAAAGAAAAGAATCATCTGGCAGGTCTGTTGCTTTAAGTACACTTCTGGCTGCACCCGTGTCAATAAGGAAGGTGGTGGGTGTCCCCTGTACAGGTAGGATGATTTTCCCTAAGGGCCCTCCCTCCCCTGAAGACGCTGTCATGAGAGGGGAACACGGATTTGCCCCTATCCTAGTGGGAAGTGGGGTGAGCCACGGCATGATTCGCAGCATCCTCCTCTTGTTGCCGGGGGCGGCGGGGGGCCCTGCATTCCCTCCTGAAATGACCTGGTCTCCCGCAGTTATAACAGGTAATCCTCTCCCTCCGGCTAGGTAGGGGAGGAGGCGGTGGTTGTCCACGGTAACAGGGCATCGGCTGCTTGTCAGGGTCTGGTAAACTCGAGACCAGGGATGAGGACTGGGATGGGGTGAAGGTGACATACATCACTGGCGCCTCTGCTATGTTCATGGGGTGCCAGGACTGGAGGAATGACTCCCGCTTCAGCCGGGGCATTAGGGGTGGCTGAATTTCGGGAGGTAGGGGTTCAGGGCCAGCATTGGTGAACAAGCTCCATTCCGCACTGGTCACATCATAAGCTATGTGCGGTGCCTCGGACGGACGTAAGGCAGGTGGCAGCGTTGATGCATCTCCCATTAGTACATTAGGGAACACGGGAGTGTGGTAGGAGCCATTGGCATTCCGCACCGGGAGGACTGGGTACATGGGGTTAATATGCCTTCCGGATGCTGCCTGACCTGGGACACCAAGATGGCCACCACCAGAAGGAGGCGGAAGTACACTGGGCTGGGCAGGAAGTGGCATGAAAGGTATACCAAGATGGCCACCACCAGAGGGTGTCATAGGGGTGGCCGCTAGTCGTCATAATGACCTGGGAGGGAGGAGCCACGGATGATGGGGCGTTAGACAAAGGGTGCGGTTTGGAATAGTTTTCTGTCCCGGCGCCATCGTTGGGCGTCGGCTCAAACACATCATCAGCTCTGTGATACACATACACAATTTTATAATTTCTTTACTTTGTGGAGAGCCTTGGCTGTACGAAACCAGGCTTCAGCTATTTTCATCAAACCCTTATCATTTAGCTTCCCTCGATGTTCCCATATCAAGGTACGCCAGGACTCTGGCTGGAGACGGACAATATCATGTTTCAAGTTACATTCTTTTGCTAACTTCTGTAATTTCTCTCTGCTTCAGGCCCCTCCCTCTCACTGCGTAGTGGACATTAACCCTTAGCACCAAGATGTCGGGAATCGCTGGGACAACAGGCTGATGGCCAAGTTTACGTGGGGGGGGGGGATACCCCCCTTCTACTACTTTCACTAATCCCCAATTCGTTTCATCCACAGTGAACATTAACCCACAAACACATTTAGGACATGACATTACACCGTGGAACTGAGCCACTGGCTGACCGGCTAAGCTCGCCTCGGGGGGACCGACACGTCACCCCGGATTTCCGTCCGTAGACGCCCACTACAGGGTTCCTCTTACTTGGGGCGTAACAGCGCGGAACTGAACCACTGGCTGACCGGCTAAGCTCGCCTCGGGGGGACCGATACGTCACCCCGGATTTCCGTCCGTAGACGCCCACTACAGGGTTCCTTCTTTCTCGGGGCATACAGCTCACCGAGATGAGGACGACCCCTGTAGCTAATTCATTTAGCTCGGCTCAGCCTTGGTCCAGAGTCGCAAACACCTCAAGCCAGGATCAGCATCCTGTAGCTAATTCATTTAGCTCGGCTCAGCCTCGGCCCAGAGCCGCAAAACACACAAACAAATAACAAACACAGCCAGCAGAAATCTCTTATGCAGGTTCTTAGCAAAACAGCCCTGGGCAAGGAAAAGTTTACCTGCCTTTTGCCGTCCTCGAACAGCCAAGTGGACGTGACAGTGGATCAGACAGAAACAAGTAGTACAGTGGTAAGATATTGAAATATGCCTACCGTACTCTCAGGGTTGCGCAAGCCCCCTTGGTCTGTCTGGCCCTCAGCCAACTGCCCGCATGTCACGGCTGCTCTTGGATCGGAACCCAGGGCCCCACGTTTTTGGGCGCCAGCTGAAATGGATCTGAACCACAACTGGGTTCACACAAGATGTCTGCTGCTGTTTCTAATTATGTCGTTTTCGGTGCACCGGAGAAATCACAAACACATGATTAAAGTTTATGACGCATCTGCTTTATTCAGGGCGGTCTCTCTCCTTTATACACAGATAACAGGAGAGTGCTCGTCACACATATGCCCACATCTGTTATCTCTAAATGTCTTGTACTATTGGGCAAACTAGAGGGGCTGTTAGTTAAAGTCTTGTGTCTCTCGCTAATTGGTTAGTCAAAGATATCTTCTGCCTGTAGCGTCCTCCCTCGGCATTCCTTTCATGTGTCCTCGGCGCGCTCCCGAATACAGGATCCATCTTGGTTACGCATAGCAACGCTAAAAGCTGAGTAAGGAAAGTCACAAAGCTAGGAAGCAAATGAAACTAATTCAAAACAATTTAAAACATAGAAAAGGACATTTTCTTGATATGATCCATATTCCTTCACACTAAGGGACCGGGGGTTATCCGATGCGGTCATTTCCACGATGCTCAGGGCACGGAAAGTGGTTTCTAGGTAGTGTGACATAAAGAGAGAAGACGTCATTGAGGGGCGCTATGTTTCCCCTCGCTTTCTATCCTATGCGCAGGAATAGTGGAAGCCTGACCAGGGTTTCGCTTTGACTTTGGGTCTGGATAGTCCAGCTCAGGTTTTTTGCCTCACCTGGATTGGTAATTGCTTAACGATTGCTTATCCAGGTGAGGTAAAAGAAGGAAGGTGGAAACAGGATGTTGCTCTGGCCTGGGACTCAGTATCCATGTACAGGACATATTCTTTCTGTATAGAAAATATATTAGAAAAATAGAATATAACTTTAAATGAGCCAAATGTAGAGTTCTGGTGATTGATTGATTTTATCTATCTGTACAGGTTATTGATGAGCCGCAATTTCGGTGAAGTTGGTCTTCATAAGCACAACTGAGTCATATCGGAGACAAGCCATATACGTGATCTAAGTGTCTAGAAGGGGTTTCTACAGTTCACTGGAAGATTCACACAGGACACAAGACACATCACACAGGACACAAGACATATCACACAGGACACAAGACATATCACACACGACACAGGTCATAAAGGTTTTGGATATTCCGCAGCATTGATCCAACATCAGAGGACAAGAGAAGTCATTTCAGTGTTCTAGAAGTCGCATTGACTTTACAGTGAAGTCAAACCCCTGAACACAAGAGAAGTCATTTCAGAGGCCAATTCTTGTTTGGAATCTGACAAAGGCTTTACAATGGAGGCAAAGCTCATCAGACATCAGAAGGTTCACAATGCAGAGAAGCCATATCAGTGTTCTGAATGTGGGAAAGCTTTTATATGGAAGTCACATCTTATTTCACACGAGAGGGTTCACACCGGAGTGAAGCCATATCAGTGTTCTGAATGTGATAAAGCTTTCAAAACAAAAGCACAACTTAATAGACACCAGAAGGTACACACTGGAGAGAAGCCCTATCAGTGTTCTGAATGTGGCAAAGCTTTTAGAGAGAAGGCAATACTAATCGCACACCAGATGGATCACACTGGAGAGAAGCCATATCAGTGTTCTGAATGTGACCAATGTTTTGTATGGAGAACACAACTTATTAGACACCAGAAGGATCACACTGGAGAGAGGCCGTATCCGTGTTCTGAATGTGATAAAGCTTTTAAAAGAAAAACACATCTTAATAGACACCATAAGATTCACATCGGAGAGAAACCATATGAATGTTCTGAATGTGGCAAAGCTTTTAGAGAGAAGTCAATACTAATCACACACCAGAGGATTCACACTGGAGAGAAGGCATATGAATGTTCTGAATGTGGCAAAGCTTTTAGAGAGAAGTCAATACTAATCACACACCAGAGGATTCACACTGGAGAGAAGGCATATGAATGTTCTGAATGTGGCAAAGCTTTTAAAAGAAAAGCACATCTTATTAAACACCAGAGGATTCACACTGGACATAAGTAATATCAGTGTTCTGAATGTGGAAAAGCTTTAAAAAAAAAGCATATCTTCATGGACACCAGAGGATTCAAAATATGTCAAAATATTTGTTATTTATTAACTCTGTACAGTTTTATCTTTTGGTATTTCAATGTTTTTATTGGTTTTCCATTTTTATAAATGAATATTTTGTTACAGAGGAGAAGAATCAACTTATATTGTACAGCAAAAAAAAATCAATAAATTTCAGTGTCAACAATTTTGTTATTATCAATATAATTATTAATAACATTAGTAGTTTATATAGTTTTCCCACTTTCCATAGATTCATCCAAGTTATACTTTAATTTATATTCTTATTGCTTAATATCACTCTACTATTTTTCCGGGGGCTAACACTTTTAATCCATAACAGTTATACAATGTGCTGTTTCCTCTCACTTTGTCTTCATATATTGAGTAAAGAAAAAAGAATAGAAAAACAATTTAATAAGAAAAGAAAAAAAGTGAGGGAAAAAAAGAGAGGGAGGAGATTGTAGACTCCAATGAGAGAATTAATTTGTAGAGGCAGGTGTTATAATAGAAGGGTTTACGATCCCTTGGTGAATCAACCATGGTTCCCATACAGTTTCAAAATTGCCGTATCTATCTTGCAAGATACTATGTAGTTTCTCATGGATCATAATCCAGTTCTTCTTAGGTAATACTTTAGAGAAAGATAGCCTTTCAGTTTTCCAAGATCGGGCTATTGCTATTTTCGCCGCTAAAAAAAATAAAGGAATGGAGTTTGCACTGGACTCTTGATGTGCCCGGGGTCATTTTGTTTAGTAAGAAATACTGCGGGTCTCTTGGGATTTGGACCCGGAGGACATCGTGGATCAGTGCAAACAGCTTATCCAAGAATGGTCGCAGTTTTGGACATTCCCACCAAATATGGATCATGGTGCCCCTCTGATTACATTGTCTAAAACATAAAGGGCTAGACCCTGGGGAAATTGTCGCTAACCTCGTTGGTACTAAGTACCATCGTGAGAAGACAGTTTTTATCTTTTGGATTTTGTCTTTTAAGTCTAACCTTACTCCAAAAAGACTTATTTTCTTAACTCTTGGTCTCCAATCTTCCTGAATACCTGTGCGTCGGTATTCTCAGACTGGATAACCTTGTTAGTTCTTATTCATACAGTCAGTTCCATTTATGTGTACTTTAGAAATCTAAGGGTGTTTATACGTCCACTCAGGTTTTTGCAACAAACTACAAGGCTGTCTTGGACTAAAAGTCCGACAAGTTTCCTTTATCTGTCACCTGGATTCTGAACCACACCCTTATATTTCTCTTTAGTATATGAAAAAAGAACTGCTTGTGCTCGACTGCTACTCAGAGTGTTCCGAGTACGTCTCCCAAATTGCGATTTTTAGTCACTTGTTCTGCCCATCCAAGATGGCCACAGATAAGGAGGACGAGGGATAGTGACCACTTTTTCCTCTCAACAGAAAATGTTTAAATAACAACCTTTTTGTACTATGTAACTGTAATCGTTATTTAGAAACACAGATTTCAAATTTTAGAAAGACAACAAACTTATTTGTTCTTATAACAACAACTTATTTTGACTTAATTGTTCTTATACTTTAAAGTACTGTTTTCTTACCCTATTGCAGAAGTTCAGACTTTTTCACAATCCCTGGAGTCCCCTTCTTATGGAACTGCCAACGGAGGGTCACGAGATCGGTTCCTCGAGCAGCCCCTTTTTACGAAAAACTTAGTTTCGGGGGTCTTTGGTGGATATCTGTTGAGATTTGGATTCCTTGCCCGAAGTTGCCATCTCCTTTCCTCTCCTATTGGAGTTCCCGGGAAGTTCGGCACCACGTTGTAGGAGGAAAAATAGATTGATCTATTGTATTTAAAAATAACATCCACGGACTTAGAGATTGTTGTAGACAAAATCTTCACTCTGCTTTATTTACATGCGCATGGCAGAATCACTACAGACGATGCATGGAGTTAGGCTTTTCCCACCTCCCGTCGGAATGAGTCTCTACTAATCCTAAGATGCATAAATCTTTTATAGTTGTTTATGATAAGTCACTTCTGGTTTGGATGCCGTCTTCGCGTCATATATCCTAGTCATGCAAGCTTCAAAGCGTTGATTTGTTTAAAACGTCTTAGGCCGTCCTAGCAGTTTCTGCAGTGTAATCTTTTCTTTTGTCCCAGCCAAGGACCTTGAAAAATCACATTCATTAGATACATGTTCATATATTGCAATTATTTTTAATTGCTGAGGCTTCAATACTTTTTAACCCCTTACAGATTCCCAACAGGCCCCAGTGAGAGTGAGTGGGATCCATTGTCTCGGATGGTTGTGATTGGAACTTGGTGGAGCAATTTGTTGGGTTTGTTTCCTGAGCCAATAATTGTTCTTATAATTTAAATATAATTATTTGTAGATTGATGGTGTTGTGTAATCAAAGCGGTTTGAGAGGGGGAGGGGACCACACGCTGTTTTCTTACATTTTTCTTTCTTTTACTTTTTTATTATTTTTTACGTTTTTTAAAAACTATTTATTATCTTTTTCTTTTTTTTGCCTTTTTGTGTACATTTTTATTTTATTCTGCTTGCTACCTCGGAGTAAAGCAAAATGTTACCTCACTAAGTACTAAAGATGTCTGCCATGAAGGGGTTCAATAATTTTGAGATTGCAGAAGTCATTAAAAGTCACACTTTCAGTTGAATTTGGAGGAAACCACTTGATACATTCATTATGTCGACTGATTTCAGTTGCTGTTGTTTGATTGGTTCATTGCAAACAGCTGAAAGTCTGTAAATTCTGCCCATAAACCTGATTTGCAATGGGGGGAGGGGTCAGGAATGTTGATTACAGCTGTAATTGGATGTGATTTATTGTGTTTATTATTTTTTTTAAGTATAGATTTTTATTGAAAGTTTTTTAGAATACAAAATCCGATTAAGACATTACTAAAGCCTAGTACAGGTCACAATTATATAAATGCAAGTATACATTGTATAGGTATATCAGTAGATGATACAGATAACAAGAACTAAGTAAAGATCATATCTAAGATAGGGAATATATTCATTAATATTGGCGAACTAGGCTTCTTGTATAGAGCAGATAATCAAAATATAGTCGCAGATAATGCAACAAGTAAACATCGTGGTCGGATTAAGAGAAAAGAGAAGAAAAGGAGTATAAGT